AAAAAAAACGATTTATAATTTTATTCAATTTTCATGATGATTCTCCAAGATTGGAGTACATTGTTACTTTTGATATGTGCATATATACTAAGTTAATACTACTTCATTTTATAAGGACATGCTATACATAAATATATACATAGACGATGCAGATATAGCTGATATTTTTTATAATAACCTTATTGTTTATATTACATAGTAAATCATTATTGTCTGTATTATGTTAATACTAGAATCAAAAGAAATACCTATCATGTCTTATCAATAATAATCGAATCATGACTGCCACTATTATATTGAAATTAGCATTAAGTTGCTTTTTTTGTTTTTATATTAATGTAATAAATAAATAAGATAGATAAAATTCGATATTTCTTTATAAAATATTATTTCATAGCAAATTGAACAAATAAACTAAATAAATTATTCATTGTATTGTAGAAGTTTCATGATCATTCATTTCCTTTTTTTTAAAGAATTAGTAATAAGTAGAGTATATTTTATATAAACATGTTTCAATGATTAGTTTTCTGTAACGCTTATATGACCATAAAATTTTAATAAAGAAAATATAATATTAAAAAATTGAAAAGAGTTTTTATGTTTTTTTCCAAATAATATTAAGTTTATCGAAAATTAGCTATTAAATATATTAGATGTAACTATTGTTTCAAGTATATTATAAAGATAAGACATCGTATAGCCTTCCATAGTTATAGCTATCCATCAATTTTCTTTTGACTATTGACGACGAATGTCAATACAGAATAACTAAAAGGTATCGCCATGCTTTCATTTGCTGTATATTTATTCCTTCAGAAAAAAACTACTACTTTGTCATGATTTCGTTTCACAAAGCAGACCCAGCGAACTAGAACATTTTTGCCACTACTCCCACGTCAAGGATGAGTTATAATTAATAGAAAGGAAAAAGTATAGAGTCTACTTTATTGCGACTGCATGCATATAGACACGAAACTTTTTTTCATAATATTATGCGATATTCAGCGTACCGACATCGATATCCTGTTATTATTGCACCACCAAAATTAAAACCAAAATCAAATCGTAAGAAATGGATTATTTGTGGTGTTATTTGTGTACTAATACTTGTGACGATCGTTGTTATTGGAGTCGGTCTGGGTGTTGGACTTGGACTTGGACTTAAAAAAAGTTCTAGTTCGTCAAGTAGTAGTGATAGTGAAACTGGTACTCTTTCACCACCATCAGTCAGTTGTACCTATACGAGTCCATCAGTATGTGGATGTGCATCAACACAACCATCATTCTTATCATCAAAAATTATAAATGGTTATTCTGCAGTTGCTAACTCATGGCCATGGATAATAATTCTCTATTATGATGGTGCTCAGCGTTGTGATGGTTTTATTTATGATTTTGAACATGTTGTAACTGCAGCTCATTGTGTTAATGGTTTATCAGCGTCCTCGTTATCAATTGCTGCTGGTGTTTATTCACTTTCATCTACAACAAATGTACAAACACGTACTGTATCTGCTATACAAGTTCATACAAGTTATTCTACAACTACTTATGTAAATGATATAGCAGTACTTAAACTTTCTTCTGCATTAACTGGAAATAACTATGTTGGTTTATGTTGTGTAACATCAGATACAACATTACCTGCTGTAAATGAACATGCTGTTATTATTGGATGGGGAACTACAAATGCTAATAGTATAACTATACCAGATACTTTACAACAAGCTGTTATTCAAATTAAAACTGCATCAAAGTGTAGTCTTAGTGCAAGTTCAACTGGACAATTTTGTGCTGGTTGGGGTACAACTGATACATGTTACGGTGATAGTGGAGGACCTTTAATGACATCTGTAAATAACGCATGGACATGTACAGGTGTTGTAAGTTATGGAACTAGTTGTAATGGTGCTGGTACTTATACTCGAGTATCCTATTATAAATCATTTATTGACGATGCTGTAGCGAATTTATAAACATAGATATTTTATTCCAAATAAAACTCTAGAAAATTAATCATAAAAAATAAATATATTATAAGATAAAATTTTATTGATAGTTATGACATCTGGTTTTTCTAATGTATATTATGATCTGATTTTTGGAAATCATGAAAATATCGAAGGTCGATTAAAGAAAAGATATACATGAGAATATTTTGCTTTATGTTAATGTGTAATTAAAATAGTAATAAAAGAAATTTAGGATGTATATTTATAGGAGATGAATTTTAGTTTTTGTCATTTCTTTTTTTCTTTTCTTTTTTACAATGCAATATTCCGCACCAGCCTTTGGTGGAGCTGCTTCAGCAGGTGCTGCGACAGCCAGTACAACAAAGATTATTGTTATTGTTGTAATAGTAAGTGTTGTTTCAATAGCCGTATTTCTTGGTGTTGTTGCTATTGCACTTGGTGTTGGACTTGGTGTTGGTCTTCGAAAATCATCTTCAGCTCCAACACCACTTTCTATACCATCACTGACTTGTGATCCAACAGCAACATGTGGTTGTCCATCAGTAACGCCAGCACCTTCAACACGTATTATTAATGGAAATACTGCAACTGCTAATAGTTGGCCATGGATGGTCTATTTAACATTTCTTAATGGAAAAGTTTGCAGCGGTTTTATTATTTCACAACGACATGTTATTACAGCTTCTAGTTGCGTTAAAAATAATGGATTGAATATAACTGTATATATTGGTAGTATTGCATACCAATCTGCAGCAGGTGGATTAAATATTACCAGTGCAAATTATACAACGGATAATTTTGATAGTATTGCAATTATTACGTTAGGAACAAATATAACTTATGGTACATCAGTTAAGCCTTGCTGTTTATCCAGTGATTTAACTGAACCATATGTGGGTGAACATGGAATTATTGCAGGTTGGGGTGAAACACAAACAACTACTCTTGGAAGTCCAGCTATGACTCTTCAACAAGCAGTAGTTTCAGTTAATCCTCAATCTACTTGTAGTTTATCAACGACTGATACTAATGAATTTTGTGGAAGTTATAATTCCATAAATGCTTGTCCAGCCGATGCCGGTGGTCCATTTATGACAGTTTACAATAATGCTTGGACTTGTACTGGTATTATAACTGGTCAATCGTCATGTCAAAATCCTATTAAATTTACAAGAATTGCTCCATATGCAGCATTTATAAGAAATGTAACATCAGTTATATTTTTATAATTATGAATCGATTTATTTGGACATTAATGAAAATACTTAATTCATTCTTTTTTATTTTTGGACATATGATGCTATTCATTGAACTATAACATCCTTTTTTCAATAGGATGAAACTAATTTTTACGCATCTTTTTCTTCCATTTAGTTAAAATATTAATGACTTTTTCTTAAATCAATACTCTAGATTAAAACATAGCTAATTGAACTAATTAGACATTTTTATTGCCTCTTGGCAGATAAGATATGACTATTTTTATTTCTAATTTCGTATTGGTATTTTTTTTCTAGGTTTATATTTTCGTTCAAATTTAGTTGATCAATAAAATATATAAAAAAAAGACTTCTCTAGGGATATAAATCATAGATATATCTTGATCATTGGCAAAAAAAATATTAATTTATTTACCTAAGTCATTTGGTTTTCGATAAAGTACTTCTGGGTTACCTTTGTATGTATATAATAATTAGAGAAGTCGTATGAAGAAAAATAATATTGTCATTTAATTGAAGTACTAGACATATTAATCATTGTATGATGGACAATAAAAATTAGATTTCAATAACTTCTATTATAGACAAGGTTATTTTCTTTAATGTTTAATTTATTCTTATCTAAATGTGTTTAGTAAGTTGTAATCGATAATATTAATCAGAAAATAATTATATATATGGCGATATTGTTTCTATGGGTAAAATTAAAGAGAAATATAATTTTGAATTTTTGTAATAAACAATAGTCTAGAATAAATAATCCGAAAATTAGTTACTTAATCTTTTGTAAAGTTTAGAGAAAAAATATCAGTTGATATCTTTATATATGTATGTATATTATGCTATACTACGACATCATTCTATTTTATTCGCTTCCATATTTTACCTTTCTGTTATTCTCGTAGCTGTGTTACACACTCACCTTGGTCAATCGAATTTTTGTATTATTTTACGGTTTTGTTATCAATGAAAACTTTCGTAATATTCTGTATTATTGTTTTCAATATTTCACAATATAAATTTGAAAGTTTACCATGCAGGTTTATAATATTTTCTATATATTTTCTTTGTTTATTTTTCTTATTAATTATTATAGAACAAATTGTTCGAATAATGGTACTATAGATAATGAATGTTGGCATGAAGCTTTAGCATATCGTTCATCAGAATTAATTAAACAAATGTTTTCATTTGCTAGTCTTTCAGTACATGTTGATACTTTTCAAAGATATCATCCACATGACGTTTGTCCATTGAAACGAATTGAAACGAGAAAATTTATTTATTGTTTTCTAGTTTAATGATTCTATAAAACTTATTGATGAATCATTGGAAAAACATTTAATTAATGAATCAGCTGATAGCCATTTAAATATAAATTTATTTACAGAAACTAAACAAATTCTTGTGAATTTCGTATGATAAATAAATAATTTGATTTAATATTTTTTTCATTTTTCATTCTTCTAGTGTCGAAATTTAACAACAACACAAGTAGAATCTGTTGATAAAATTCCATCATTATCATGTTCATTATATACATGTTCTTCTGAAGTACTTAATCATTTAGTGCTTCTTATTATCACTGCTATATTAGCTGGATTAATTCTAATTGTATGTATGGTGCAATTTATCCAGATGCGTCGTCGTTTACCATCTTTAATAACTATTCAACAAGCGAATACTCCACTTATAAGTCCTGATTCTACTAATCAAACTAGTATTAATGCTTAATACTAATTAGAGATTCCAATAAATATTTTTTTCTATCTTGTTTCTAATAAAAGAAAATAAATGTGCTATTCTTATTATTATTTTTTTACTCTTTCTCTTTAATATTATAGATATATAATGTATTATTATAGTGGAGTTATTTGGATCTGTATGTATTCTGTTCTGTTTGTATATGGAGAACAGAATTTATTTGATAAGAAATGCAAGTAAGCGAAAAACTATATTTCGAGGGAATAACATTCGTATTGCAGTTCTTCTTGAAAGAGATATTCAGTAATTTTCACTTAATAATACGATTTACTTTTTTTTCCCACTTGAAAACTACCGGAAAGAAAAGAGAAGAGAAATTTTCCCCCTAAAGCTAAAATTTCTTTTATAAATACATTGTTTTTCTTTCATATTATATAAGATCAACTATAGTAAAGTTATGTGATAAATTCTTTTATTGTGTTCGACGTATAATCATAATAAAATTCAGACGATTAATATCGCAATTGTATTTGAATATTGACTATGAAGATTCTTTTTTTTCTCTAACGTCCTTCAGTTAATTCTACTTCCGTATGTTATTCATCGAAGGTTATTTTCATGACTTTATACGCATAATTTAGTTTCAGAGAATATTTGCTTGATTAAACTTTTTCTTGAAATATTGTTCAAATCGCTATCAATTATATAATTCTGATATATAGGATTTTGTGTCTATTTTTATATCGAATTTACCTGAAAAGATTCATTAAGAATTTGACTATAGAAAAGCTAAAAAAAGCCTATCTTCCTTCCTGCCATCCTATTAGAATATTTTTTCTTATTCTCGGATCTTAGTTCCTATAATATATAAATTTAATTTTTAGACGTGAATGTGATACCCAATATGGTACATTTGATTGTTGGAAAACAACTATAGATGGATTTACTTATGGTTTATCAACATCTATGATTAATTATTGTCAAGTTATATTACAAGTTCGACAAAAGATTGATGAAAAAGTTAGTTAAACATTATTTTTAAACAATATAAATTCTGTTTTTTAGTTTTCATGGTATAATGTCAGTCGTGATTTATTAACAAAACAAATTAGAGAATATAATCTTGATAGTAAAGCTCGTCAAATAACGAAAAACGATGCTGAACAAATTGTTACAACACTTTTAAATAAAGTAAAATAATACTAATAATAATTTTCATGAATTAGTTTTATTAATTTAATTTAGTGTTTTTATACATCCTCATCATCTATATCTTCTATTCAACCATCATGTCCATCATGTTCGAAACAAGAAATTAAACTAATAAAAGAATCACGTCTTTTCTCTTTATTTTCTTCAGTTTCATGTTTTGTACTCATTTTTGTTATTATTTTGTTATATGCTTTACATATCGGTTCTACACGTCGTTCTTATCAATCAATTGGTTAATGAATATTTGTTTGTTTGTTTGTTATTATTATTTTCTAGATAAAATAATTATGAATTTTTCATCACAACAAGCACTTCTCTTCTATGAAACAATAAAAGGTATGTGAATAAATAACATTTGTTTTTTCTTTTTTTATCTTTGATCAAAAACAAAGAGACAAAAAAAACTAGACAGAGAGAGCGAGCACAATAAAGAAGAAAACAGACTGGAAGGAAACGAATAATTCTATACATATATATTTTTTTCTATTCACATTCAAAATTTGGTACAACAGCATCCTCTTTCGTTGTCGTTGTTTCATTACTGTTATTTGTATAATTATTGCTGTTAGTATATAAAAATGATTCATCATTTAATATTGATGTATTCATTGATATCGGTGATGTATCACGATCACCACTAAACCAAATATGTCCAAGTATATCTTGTGCTAAAAGACGTTCATCAGGTTTGACTCGAATTAAAGAACGAAGTAGGGAACGAGCTTTGACTGATATTGTTCGAGGTATATCAGGACGACATCGACCAATTTTTATAAATAAACCAACTAACGTTCGATCACAAAATGGATAACGACCAAATAGCATTGTATATAAAATGATACCTAAATGAATCATAAATTTCGAAATCTTGCAACAGAATTTCATATATTATCTCTCATTACGTTGTAATTTCAAAGGTATACTACACTCAACAAAATTCCACGTTTTTCATCGTTAACTATAGAAATTAATTTCAGGGTCTTTCATCAATTTCCATCATGTAAAATGTCATTGAGCAGTCGATAACATTTCATTTCTCTACAGAACTAATACATAAAAATTTTCATTTCACGGTCTAGCATATATATTTATAGAAACTGAAATATATATACATTTCTTTTTTCCCCTCTTCCAATTGTATAATAGAAATTAAAAAAAGAAAAAAGGAATTTACCTAAACTCCATGAATCAGCTAATTTTCCGGAGTACATTTGTCTATTAAGAACAATCTCAGGACATGCATACACCGGACATGAAAAACGTGAAGATACGAAATCATTAGTTGTACTTGGATTTGTTAGCATAATAGCTTCATCAAGTCCAGTGAGAAGTAAATGTGAATGTGTACTATTATTAAATATAATTTTTCGTAATTTTAAATCACGTATAATTAAACCAACACGATGACACATTTGTATAGCACGTACAATTTGTGTAAATAAATTTCTTGATTCATTTTCATTTAAACGATGTTTTTCAGTAATATATGTATGTAAATTGCTTGAATAATTTGGATATAATACAATAGTTGTTCTTTCAAGTGATATAATATCACGAAAAAAATGTAAATTAGATTTAGCAGCTAATTGTTCTATTGACATAGAGTTTATTAATTGTTTATTGATATTTGATGCAAGTAAAATTGATGATAAACGTTGATAGGGTTCTAAACGTTGACGTACAAGTTCACTAGGATATTCTTTATATAGGAGAGCTTCACCAGTTGAAATATGACGGGCACATTTAAAATCATCAAATTTTGTTTCACTTAATTCATATTCACCGATTAAACGAATAGATGGTAATAATGGTTGATTATTTAATGTTGAAAGATTACTTGTAGATAAGGTTGCAAATGGATTAACGAGTACAACTGTATCAGGTGTAAGAGGACCAGATGGATCAGTAACTTGTGGAAGTGGAGTTGAAGGATTAGACGTTGAAATTTGTGTTTGAAAACGAAGATCATGTGGTTTAACAGATGATTGATGATGTGATGTTTGAGAAGGCATTGTTTTAATGTCGATAAAGATAATTTAGAGCGGTATAGCAAAATAATAATAATTAAAGTGTTTCAGCAATATCTGACGTTAATATTGATGTAATTTGAACAGTAATCTTACTAGAATGAAGAAATAACTTGATTAGAATAATGAATAGAATAGCTAAGTTCACTATAAATATATATATATAAATATATGTATGTATATATATATATATATATATATATATGTAGAGAATAGAAGAAAAAAAGAACGCGGGAGAAGAGAAGGTATTGTTGCGAAATCAAACCATCATTGCGCAAGTTATAACCAAACCCGGTGTATGGTTGCTCAATCGCTAGCTAGAATTAGAGAAGATGGCTTACGCAATTTTTCTTCAACTAGAATGATGAAACAAAAAATTTTCTTGAGTTATAAAACGACAAGATGGTTTTTTCTCTGTAAGGATATTCTAACGACTAACATCAAAAAAATGACTCTTTTTCTATCATTGTTCTAGTTTAATAGTTGGTCAAAATAGATACTCACATTCATTGAACATTGTGAATACATTCATCTTACTTGTTTTTTCGGTCGAGATATATACGTGTGCATATGATCGTGACCTTCCGTTCATATACAGAAGGCGACGACGAGGACGCTGTTTCTCCTTCTCTTTCTCACTCTTTCTCTCTCTCTCTTTCTTTTTCTTTCTTAATGTTTGATTGGCATCAAACATTTACATTGGCGATCGGAGTAAAGAGAACCTACTCGTCTGTGTATATCACACTCTATCTAGACTAGACACACTCATGTTAATGAGAAAGAGAGAAAGAAGGACGAGGGCAAGAGGGCATAGACAGACA